GCCGCCGCGGCCAGCGCACCGCGCTGATCCAATGGCAGGAGCCAGGTGCTTCTCCTGGTCTCCCATGGGGTGCAGGGCCCAAGCACTTGGGCCATCCTCCACTGCACTCCCTGGCCACAGCAGAGAGCTGGCCTGGAAGAGGGGCAACCGGGACAGAATCCGGCGCCCCGACCGGGACTAGAACCCGGTGTGCTGGCGCCGCAAGGTGGAGGATTAGCCTAGTGAGCCGCGGTGCCGGCCTGAACAGGCTTTTAGAGGCTGCTGGAGAGAAGGGAGGCAGAGGCTGATTAACCTTAAGGTGTGTCCACGAGTCTCAGGACAAGTGGCAGGTGGTTCTTTGGTGTTCGGATCATCCCAAGGCCTATTGGGCAATGGGAGGTGTGAGAACAGAGTTCAGGGGCCGGCCCTGCGGCACAGTGGGTTAAAGCCCTGGCCTGCAGCCCCAGCATTCCATATGGGCATCAGTACCAGCAACGGCTGCTCCTCTTCCAATCCAGCTTCCTGCTAATGCACCTGGGAAGGCAGCAAAAGAATGCTCCCGTGCTAGGGCCCTGCCACCTGTGTGGAGACCCAGATGGGGTTCACGGCTTCTGGCTTTGGCCTGGCCCAGCCCTGGCAGTTGCAGTCATTTGGGGAGTGAACAAGCAGACAGATCGATCGATCTCTCCTTCTCTCTCTCTCTCACCCACCCCCCGACCCATAACTCTACCTTTCTTTTCTTTTTTTTTTTTTTTTTTGACAGGCAGAGTGGACAGTGAGAGAGAGAGAGACAGAGAGAAAGGTCTTCCTTTGCCGTTGGTTCACCTTCCAATGGCCGCCGCTGCAGCCGGCGCACCGCGCTGATCCGATGGCAGGAGCCAGGAGCCAGGTGCTTCTCCTGGTCTCCCATGGGGTGCAGGGCCCAAGCACCTGGGCCATCCTCCACTGCACTCCCTGGCCACAGCAGAGAGCTGGCCTGGAAGAGGGGCAACCGGGACAGAATCCGGCGCCCCGACCGGGACTAGAACCCGGTGTGCTGGCGCCGCAAGGTGGAGGATTAGCCTATTGAGCCACGGCGCCGGCTCCATAACTCTACCTTTCAAATAAAGAAATAAATCTCTTAAAAGTAAGTACATGAGGGGCTGACACTGTGGCACAGCAGGTTAATGCCCTGGCCTGAAGCACCAGCAACTCATTTGGGCGCCGGTTCTACTCCCGGCTGCTCCTCTTCCGATCCAGCTCTCTGCTATGGCCTGAGAAAGCAGTGGAAGATGCCCAAGTTTTTGGGCCCCTGCACCCACGTGGGAGACACAGAGGAGGCTCCTGGCTTCGGATCAGTGCAGCTCCAGCCATTGCAGCCAATTGGGGGGGTGGGCCAGTGGATGGAAGACTTCTCTCTCTCTGCCTCTCCTCTCTCTGTGTAACTGTTTCAAATAAAGAAATAAATCTTTTAGAAGTAAGTACATGCGTAACAACTTTTACCTCTGGAAATTCACCAGCCGGTCCGGCAGTGCAGTGGGGCAGTGGATGAATAAGCCGCGGCCCATCCGGACGCCGGCACGACACACAGAAGAACCCGAGCACGCGCTGCTGAGAAAGCCAGCTAAGCTCCTGTGTGTTGGTCCAGCCGTGCGTTTGGCTGCCAGGGACTACGAGAGGGAGGCGTGGACGGAGCAGAGCCCAGGACCTCTTCAAGGCAGTGAGACTCTTGTGCGTGGGACAACGGTGACACACGACGTCAGACACTGCCCCACCCCACAGAGCGAGCAACACCAACCTCAACCGTGACGTGGCCGTGCAGGGTCATCGCCATCCCACTGCAGAGGAGGAAGGCGACACTCAGGGAAGCCAACGAGGTGAGAGCAGGTTGGGGACTTTCTGTGCTTTCTGCTCGAT